AAATTATGATAATATCCTCTCTTGTACAAAAGTTATATCTAAGCCGAACAAGCTCTAAGGTTGCTGGTGTAAGTTGCGAGTAAAAAAGTAATGGTGTTATTATTATTATTTTTTTTTTTGGAAGTTTACCTTTTTTTTTATGATTGATTATAAAAGTATAATGTTATTTTTGAGATTCTAATCAAACTCTTAGCTCAAGTCTACGGTCTACCTAGATGTGGCTTGAGGGGTAGTATAAAGAGATGAGGGAGGGCAAAAAAGGTCGGCAAGAACAAAAGAGCTAGCTTTTTATCTGCAGAGATCGATTGCTTGATTGTGGAAAAAAAGAGAAGAAAACACACAAAAATGGGGAGGGGAAGGGTTGAGTTGAAGAGGATTGAGAACAAGATCAACCGGCAGGTGACTTTTGCTAAGAGAAGGAATGGCCTTTTGAAGAAAGCCTATGAGCTTTCCGTTCTTTGTGATGCCGAGGTTGCTCTCATCATCTTCTCCAATAGAGGAAAGCTGTACGAGTTTTGCAGTAGTTCAAGGTATCACCAAAACAACTAAGCCCCCCCACCCCTTCTTTTTTGTACTCTCCCCCCCTAAAAAAAAGATCAATTTTTTGAGATCATTGTTTTCTCTTTCTTCTTTCTCCTCCCCATTTTCTTCTTTCTCTTGTTTTGAATGAAATTTGAATTCTAACTTTTAGATCTTGAGCTCTGAGAAGAGTTGATTTTTGCTGTTTTAAGAGATGGGTTTGAGATTTGGGAGGAGTTTGAGAAAGCAGAAAAAGTTGGGTTAAGTTTTGCCCTTTTTGTGAATGCTGCGGCGTTTTTAGCAGGTTGATTGTTTTTCCTCTTCGAATTGATGTTAGATCTGCAACTGGAAAACCATAAAAATTAACAAGATCACTGTTATATTGACCCTAATTTCCCCATCCTTTTTTCTTTCTTCTCCTCCATCTTCATTTTCCCATTTTTACACCCATCTTGATCAATTGTTTTTTTGAGTTCAATAACCCCAGAGATCCTCTCCATATTCTTTTTGTTCTTTCAAAATCATGTTCCTTTCCTCGTTTTTTCAAACAAACAAAACTGAAGTCTTTCGGGTACGTATACACTAATTTGATTTGGTATCATAGAACAACCCAGCAATTTTTTCTCAAAAATTAGGGTTTTTAATAATTTTTTCTTCGTCATTCTCCCTGTTCATTCATGAACGTACAGGCAATCATCCAACTTTTTTAGATAAAAGGGAAAAAGTTAAGTAATGAATCTACATGCCCTGATCATATCAATCAGGAGAAGATATATATGATCATGTAGCTAGATTTTAAGCTTGTCAATTTCAGAATTCTTCCTTCTTTCCACCGGATCATGAACTTCTCTCTCTCCATGATGAGCCCTCTGAAATCTGCAGCTGAGATTTAGGGTTTGATTGATCTCTTTCAGAAGCTAGCTAGTGAGCTTGAGGGTTAGGGTTTTCCATTCTGGGATCAGACGTCCTCTGGTTAGGGTTTCTAATCTGGAATTATTTTCTTTCTTTCTCGTCAAATGACAGATCTGAATTAATGTTAGAAATGATGTTTGGTTTTGAGTGTGAAATTGGTTTTGCAGTGATCTGATTAATATATGGAGATCTCCTGATTCCTCCTAATTTTTCTTTTTAATCAACCCTTCTTAATTTTTCTTAGCACTCTACTAATATATTTCTCTTAATTAATACACTGATTTCAAATTAAATATAAAAATATTAGTATATATATTAATAAAATTTTAAAGAGAGGCTTCTTTCTTTTTTTAGGAATTATTTTTATTTAATTTTTTATTTTTAATTTGAGGGTTATATGGAGTTTTTTCTATCAATATCACCCGATTTACAATTAAATTTTCTTGTCCTTTTTTCTTGAAAATTTTTTTTACAACCTTGAAATTTCTTTTTAAAGATCCCTTTTGCTTTCAAAAAAATAAAAAAAATGGCTTTCTAATTTTTGAAAGAGATTATGGTTTTCTCTAGAAGTAAAATAAGTTTCGCAAAGAAAAAGAAAAAGAAAAAGAAAAAAATTGCATCATCAAGAGCTCATGATTCCTAAATTATATGGTGCATATGCCCTTATGTTTCTTGATGTGGTTTTCTAGTTGTTTCTTGGATATAAACCTAAATTAAATTAAACAACTTTGTAATAAGTTAATCTAAATCTAGTAATTAAGATTCCAAGGTTATCTTTCTAAAATGTTATAAATTAATTAATTCTGTTAATAAAAAATTTATAAATTAAATAATTAATGACGATGCAACTATTTTGAATTAACTAATTAATTAATTTTGTTTGTTTGATGTGCTAATAAGAAATCTTATTTTTTGTTTAGCATGCTGAAAACACTAGAGAGGTACCAGAAGTGCAACTATGGAGCTCCAGAGCCAAATGTCTCATCAAGGGAGGCTCTGGTAATTAATGCTTATCTCTGCAAGTTATTTTTGCATAAGCTGCTCCCTTTCTATTTCTTCTTTGTTAGATTGATTTGTGAAATGAGTACTTAAAATGAAGGCAAGGCTTAAGGCTACCTTTTCAATTAGTCTTTTTAGGGTTCAAAACAACCAATATACTTACATATATATTTTTAGTTGTAAAGCACCAAAACTTACATTGTGCTTCATGCCTAAGATTTTGCCTGCTAGGGTATTATGGTGAAGAAGATGAATCCCCAAAGGCTAAATGGCTAGGGACAGTTGGAATAATATATATCTTACGAAATATTCTTTACTTATGAACATTTATGCACCTGAACTTTTTAGCTCAATTAGCAAAGTGCTTGCTCTCTAGTTCAAATTCCTCCACACCCTTGATATCAAAAAACTTCTAGAAATTGCAAATGATTAGCTTTTTGTGTTGTTTAATTATGATGCTAAGAATTATGTATATAATCAAGGCATTTAAAGCAATTATTAGTATTTACTAAGACTGTTTCATAAACTTAAATGTAGTAATTAATTATGGCATAAGAATGTTCATCTTTGAATCGTTTCAAGCTAGTTTTATTTGTTAGTTGTTGTCGGTTAAAAATAATGCTTGCTTCATTTAAAGTTTTAATCAATTTCAAACAAATGTTTCAAGGGCAGTGCTAGCTCCACTCCTAGTTTCAAACACTCACATTCTAAGGTTGATAAACGGTAACCATTTCTATTTAAAAAAATAAAGAAACTTGAATCATTTTTTGACTCTTTGTTCATCAAAAACATGCGTCAAAATAAAAGAGTGTTGGTTTCACCCTTTTTTTTTTTTTCTCCCCATACGCATAGTCCTTTTCTTTTATGAAACCCCTCCTTACATGGAGTGCTAGTTTGAGCAGCTGCCCATGGTACTCCTCTTATATTAATGAACAAAACTCAAATAAATCAAAGATTTAAGAGGGTAAATGGCACATTTTTAAGTAGTAATCTAAAATTGAACTGCTTTCGATGATGGATATGCACAAGTTTGAAGATATAACTCATTTTGAACACAGCTATTCTCCTGTGGCCATTTTGTAGTTGAATATATCTGTGTGCATGCATGGCTACAATATATAGGAAAATAATTGCATGCATGGTTGTTGTCAAAGAACATGGCTCAGTTAATTCCTTGGCAATTTTCCTGCTGTGGTTGTAGGAGCTAAGTAGTCAGCAAGAATATCTGAAGCTTAAAGCACGTTATGAAGCCCTACAAAGATCACAGAAGTGAGTCAACATTTCTAAATCAATCTCTTAATCTTTAAGATGATGATCTATGCTGTAATACCTTAAATTTCATGTTAAATGACTTAAGTCTTTTCTGTTTCTGTGTTTTCTTTGTATAGGAATCTCCTGGGGGAAGATCTGGGCCCTCTTAGCAGCAAGGAGCTTGAGTCCCTTGAAAGGCAGCTCGATTCCTCGTTGAAACAAATCAGATCAACCAGGGTATGATAACCTCATCACTGAACATAATTCCACTGCTTTGATACTCATGGATCTAACTGATCTTCATCATCCCTTTCTTCTTGATCTCAAATTTGTGAATGTTGTCTTCAATTCTGATTATGATCCTGATGATTGATGTGTGCGTTGCATTGAATTTTCCACGAGTTTCTCTTATGGTACTTTAAATCAATGAAAATATATTATAAGGTAAATATTGTCTTGCATTTGCTGGAGCCTTAATTGACAGTTGTTAAATTTAACATTATTGGATGTCTTAGCTTTATTACACTTTGGATGGAATAATTCAAGACCATTAGGACTTATATATTAACAAGACAAGCCCATGTTTTTGTTTTTGTTTTGTTTGGTTCACTTGTGAGAGCGATAAATCCTATGTCAAAAATATGTAATGATAATAAAATAAATATCTAAAAATTCATGAATATAATAATTTAGTCTTTTGAGTTTAAAATAACATTTAAAACATGTATTAGCCGAATCTATTATTGGGTAGAACCTATTCTATTTTTTAACCAATAAATCTTAAAATAAAAAGGCCTTATGTATTATTTTTATTTTAATGGGTAAGGCTTATAATTGCAAGGCTTTAAAATTTGGAAATCTTTTGAGAGATGGATAGGGCTTATGCCTAACCCCATGGTATTATAGATTAGGCCTCATCATTCACAAGTTCCAGTAAGGTTAGTCTCACTTTATAATTGTTTGTTTTCTGCAGACTCAATACATGCTGGATCAGCTTACTGATCTCCAGAGGAAGGTACAAATTAACACATTTGACAAAGTTCCCTAATATCCTCATTTTAGTTCCCATGTTTGACTTCCCTACTTATTCCCTACTGTTAAAAATGCAGGAACACCTCCTAAATGAAGCCAATAAGACCTTGAAACAAAGGGTATGTATACCTTTCCGACAGCATCTATATCTGCATATAATAATAGATTTCTGGAGAAAGGATTCAACCTTAATCAAATCCTTCCATCGTACCAAGACAACAGAGACATCCAAAGAACCATGCTTTAACATAACAACTCGACTCATCTTTGTAAAAAATTGATATTCGCTTGTGCTCTTGCAGTTGGTGGAAGGCTACCAAGTAAGCTCCATGCACTTGAATCCAAATGCAGAAGATGTGGGATACGGTCGACAACCTGTTCAGCCCCAGGGCGATGCCTTCTACCATCCTTTGGAGTGTGAACCCACATTACAAATTGGGTACTATTTCCCTAAAACCAATTTACGACTTCAAAAATCAAGATAATTTGCATTAAACTTTCTCATTCAATTAGAGTTTTTGGATTTCAGATACCCAACTGACCCAATATCGGTGGTCACTGCCGGTCCAAGTGTCAATAATTACATGGGAGGATGGTTAGCTTAATAAGATGAAGGTATGATGGCATGATGCCATAATGGCAAGTCTTCTTGCGCATGCTTTCTCTCATAAGTTTCGGCAAATTAGTCTCTTTTGTATGTTATTTTGAAGTGAAACATGTAACACTATGGATTCATTGCATCTTAGGAGCTCTATAATTAACGTTTGTGTGTGTGTGTGCGCGTGTTTATGTATCATGCATCTTGCATTTTAGTAACTTTGCTTGGAATAATTGTTGTTTGCATGCATGTAAAAGGATTCTGTCAATCATTTTTCTTTTGTATACCGCATGAAGTCTGTTTGCTTTGAAGTTAGAACAATTATAAGAACAATAATAATAATAATAATAATAATAATAATAATAATAATAATAATAATAATGATATTTATTAATTAAATGTACAAAAAAAATTAGGTGAAAAATATTTTAAAACTATTAATTTCAGTAAGAGTTACAGAAAAAACAAATGATATATATTTTTACCTTTAATATATGTTATTTTAGTCTTTTTTTTTTTTCCTTAATTTTTTGTAAGTTTGGCTTAGTGCCAATAATGACAAAGACAATAGATAGATACAATATCATATGGATGAATTCTTAAATGAAAAGAATTAATTACAAAAAAACACATCATATTGTAAGTTAACAATATCATATAACATTATAACTATAACATTTTTGTATTTAAATTTAATTATTCACTTTTTTTAATGTCATTTAATGTATATATTCTTATTTTATTCTTATTTTAAAAAGATAATTACAACATACAGTATATTAAATAAAAAACTTTATTTAAGTAACAATAATTAAATTAAAGAGAAATATAAAATTTTATCAATTAATTATTACATTTTTATTTTATTAGATAAAAAAACACTACTTTTTACTAGATAAAAACACACTATGCCTGCTAGTAAATGATAGTATTGTGGAATATGGAATGGAAGTATGATAGGGTTCTTGCCATAGTTTTGCCCTGTTTTGAAGAAAAATTAATGGTTAAAACCCAAATTTGATTGTTCTATTTTGAGAAAAAGTCATTTTTTTAGTCCTTCTACATAAAATAAAAAAAATTAAAAAAAAAACCTCTTTTTGATATCTAAATTTTAAAATCTAGCTCTTTTTAGTTTTTTCATTAAATTTTGACGATAGATGATGAAAATATCAAAGGAAGAGAACTAAAAAGGGATTTTTTTTCCAAGATCAAATTTGGATTATTTTTAGTCTCTTTTTAGTCCCTTTTTGGTCCTTTTATTTTAAAATTTCTATTAATTAATATGCCACATATATAAAACTTAACGGAATAGCTAAAAAAGGACTGAATTTTGAAATTTAGAGACCAAAAATGAACTTTTTAAGTAAAAGGACTAAAAAAACTTTTTATTAAAGTAAAAGGATCAAAATGAACATTTAACCAAAATTAAATTTAACTCGACGTTGTTTTCCAAGGCCAAAATTTGATATTGTTTTGGTTGGGCTGAATTGGGCTATGGTTTGTACAAGATGGATTTAAAGCCGCACATCAAGTGGTTAAAAAGTCACAACATAAGTCACGAGAATTTGGGTATTTTATTCAGTATACACCCACATCAAGGCCCAATTTAGGTTTCCTATGCTCCCATCAAGGCCCTTTTAAAGTTAGCCACGCACTTTAAAAATGTTTTTTGGCTGACACGCAACTTTAGTTTAATACGGCAAATTACACTTAAACATGGTGTATGGTATAAGAGAAGGCACTAGACACTTCAAATGATAAAAATGTGTAGGATATCTGAGGTGCATATTTAAGATTGCTAAGAAAAACATTAGTTTAGAGGTATGCAATCTAAAAATGCCTTAATTATAAATACAAAATATATATATACTTGACTTAATGCTATTTAAAATATACACAACCCTAAAATTACAAAATATACACTTACCTCCTATTAAGTCAATTTAATATTAAAAATGAATTGTTTTTTGGTACATCTAATAACGATGAATTATAAAATAGTTGATATTCTTATCTTTTTTTTAAATTCTTTCTCATTCGATTCAAAATTTAAATTTATGATTTTTAATTTAGAATCTTACAGTTTATATTATTGAATCACCCCTAAATTATTAAAGATGAAATATTAAAAATACTTACATGTACTCTTCGTTATAAACTTTCATATTCAATTTTAAATTTCTATGTATAAATTATAAAAAATAAAACATTAAAAATACCTTTTTTTTTTCTTCGTTCAAACTATAGTAGTTAAGACTTAAGAGTACAATTTCATAATTTGAAAAGTTAAATTCATGTTTTAAACGCAACGAGGACAAGAACACATTTTTTGTAATTTATAAATTGTGCCCCTGATTCCTAATACATGCAATTCCCCCCTAACCGAATGACATGATTGCTCGTTGTTGAACGCAGTTCCTTCGTATTTGCGACATTTCATTTTTCTTCTTCCTCAACGCTGCTTGATTGGAAATTCAAACCCAATTCGTAGGTTTGCCAAAGTTAATTTGGTGGCTGGAAATGCTGACTTTTCTTAAGAAATGGGTTCGTTTTTCTTTTCTTTATCCTTTTGTTTTTTAATCTAGATCTTAAAATCATATATTTAGAATTAATAAACATATTTTTTTATTATAAATTTATATCAAAAAATAAATTTTATTTTTAATTTTCAATTATCTAATTAAATTTATTTATATAATAATTATATTAAAATTAATATTAATTTTTATAATTTTGATACAAATTTATGATAAAAATATATTATTAAAATATATACTTTAATTACATATGTTAGAAAAAATTTTAAATAATATAATTATAATATCACATAATATTTTAATTTTAATATCATAATATATTATTATATAATTAACTACTTACATTTATGAATATACTCTAGGTATCTAACTTTTATTTTAATATTTACAATTACAATGTCTTTGTATTAATTTTTACACAATTTATAATTAATAATTTCCTTTATGATTTTGGATGCACCTCATATATCAACATGATAAATTAAAAAGATTATTTTTCTTAGTTATTAATTTCGAAAACTTAAATTTTAAATCGAATGTATAATATGATATTTACCTATAAATATATCAAACTGTTGTAATATATAAATAAAAAAGATTCAAATATAATTATTTATATAATTTTATATATTATTTGAATAATTAATTTTTTAAATTTATTTAAAATTCATAAATCATAATATTAAATATGTTTATTAATT